ATCTAAGTATACGATGTCCATTCTGAGATCAGTTTGGCTGATGAACATATGGGAGGCAAAAGGGAATGCAGTGCCTATTAAAATGCTTATGAAAAATAGATAAAGCCTTTCAAACTTTAATAACATGCTATTTGATTCTGTCAGCAGATAACATTATGTACAAAGTATTGCATAGCCATGTTTTAGGGCTTGAAAGTCATCAGTCTAAGAAGGATTCCAGGAGACACAGTGCAGGATAGCACATATTGACAACCTGCCAGTTTTGAGGGCATGAGGAGGACACAAGCACCGTAGTTTTACTTGATTTTTGTGGAAAGGAGATGGATAGTGTCATGAGGAGGGAACAAACAGGGCAGACATCAACTGGACTGAAAGAGAAAATTTCTGTACAGATATTCTGTGCAGGCAAGATCTAGTAAGGGAAACATTACTAAATATATTTATGTACTTCCCGAGATTCTCTACAGAATATCTTTATGCCACAAGTTTCTAAATATTCATTAAAAGAGCTGATAGCCAAACAAGCAAACCAAAAATCTTGCAAAAAGCATTAATGACGGCAGGATTCCTGGACCTATGTTTTTTCTACTCTGGCTGTAGACAGAATGTACCACAGACAGAATGATATGATCCATGACATTCATCAGGATCTGATATGCTTGGGGAAAAAGGGTCATAGGTTCTCTTTACATCCCTTTGCCTGTTTTCCTTGGGTTTGTCCTTAATGCATGCCAAAGGAATAAATCCCTTTTGCATTCTGCCATTCCAGCAATGCTCATGGAAGAACCCCTGGCTCCATGGTGAGGTATTTCTGTGCGATGTTGCTGTAAATCTGGTGTGGTGTGTGTGCAGTCAGCACAATGGTGTTGCTCTTGTCCCCTGCCCACCCTTCACTGATCCCAGAGCACTGGCAGAATAGTGGGAAAGCTGATCTCTCACTCTGCTACACACACGTCCCAACAACACAGCAAGCAGGCATTATAACTTCTCTTATTTATTCTTATTCAGTGTTTTGACCTCAATCCCGGTTGCCGTGCTTAATATGATTTATTTATTCATAAGATGCTAAACTAACAATATTGAGTTTAGTGTGGACTGCCCATGAGACACTGAAAAGAAATGCTGACATGTTATTGCTAAGGGCAATGGGCAGATTACTCTGCCTCGCATTCACATGGTGCATTTATTCACCTATAAGCATTTTTATAGTGACTGTAATTGTAACACCTGGGCAATATATGTGCACCATAAAAATGCTGAAAACTGTCCATTAGGACAATTAATTCTCTGTCCAGCTTCTGGTTTAATTGAGGCATTGTGCCTTTGGCTGTGCTATTGTTTTTAATTTAAGGCATGCAGTAGGGCAAAGCTAACTCTCCCAGCTGTGAAAATACGTGGGTAGGTACTTGGATGCTGGAGGCTGAGGCAAAGCAGGAGAGGGACAGAGAGTGTGCTACAGCAGCAGTGCCAGCACAGTTTTAAAGATCGTATTGTTTTCTTTGTTGTAATGACACTGGGCAAATCCTTTTTCATGACTGGTAATTAGGATAGAAAATTGAGCTTAAAGGGGCCTGAAACTAATCAAGGTTGAATTTGACTAATAGTTCTGGTCAGAACAAATGCAAGGAGAAATTTAAAAAATGTCAAAACATATCATTTTGACCTTTCTGAAATGAAATGTTTCATTTTGGAAATGCCAAACCATTTCATTTTGACATTTGTAAAATGAAACTTTGACTTTTTGATTCAAAATGTCACTTTTTTTTTCCTTTAAAACTGACCTACATTGCTCACATGGTAGAAACCTAACGTAAAATTAAGGTAAAATAAATCCAGACCACTTTGAGCTGCATAAAAATTTAATTTTTTCAAGAAGAGGTGAAGGAATTCCACTTTTCTTGCAGTTTTGTTTACTTGTTTTGTCTGTCCCTGTTGATATGATGGTGGTTATTATTATTATTATGGTGTTTTCCTATTCAAATTTCCCTTTTTCCCTCTGTTTTACACTAACTTGGAAAATCTGTACTTGTTTTATCATACTTTGGTTTGAGATTTTTCTTGGGAAGTATTTCTCTCTGCAGTTAGAGGGTTTTTGTTTTGTTTGTTTTTCATTTAATTTATTGGAGATTTTTGATTACATATTCAAAAACTAGCACAAGACTGATGCTCTAACTCTTGGACAGTGCTGTCACAAAATCTTAGGTGCATGGTCTAGTCTAGTTACACACAACCCCCACATGCAGGTTGCAGCACAAGAAACCACTGAAAAGTGTCTTTGAGCTGCTGAATCTTGAATTCTCCAATGTGCTTGTTAAGTTTGAAACAGATTCTTGGGAATTTCCCAATCAATTAAAAGACCAACACAGCCGCACATTGAAGCAGAATGTTTAATGCTTCTGTCGGTAACAGGCGTTTGCCAACAGCCATCTTCAGTGCAGCCCAAGAAATGGCTCTTTTCAAGAACCAGATTTCTTTTTATGATTTTAAACTAGACACAAATATAGAAATGCTTGATGGACTGCCAGGCAGTGAATGAACCTAGATCAAAACTGGCTCCTAAACTAGAATTGCACAGGCACATAGTTTAGCTTAGTAAATTCACTGAGAATTAAGAGCAGTACTGAGTTTGATACCCAGTCTTCTGCTTTTTCCAGAACTCACTTTGATGAGAATATTTTTCTGATAGTCCAGTTAGATGTGGTGCTGTAGGGTGCAAAGTTTAGAGTCAGTAAAACACCTCCCTTGGAAAAAAGAGTTTACTGCATAAGAAGCAAGGACAGGCAGGAAAATGAGTGTACAGGTATGACCAAAGTTGTCTAAATAATTTATTAATGGTGTATTTTAAAATCAGAATGTCCAAATTATTGCACAGTAATGATCAAGACTTGGAAAAGCTTTTAGAGAATAGAAGCAAGTGGGTGATTTTTCTGTTTATGTGATATTAGAGTGTACAAGCATGATGTAAGTATAGAAGCAGCACTGAAGGCCACTTATCAAAGTTGAAATAAAAAAAAAAGTAAGGGATTCTTGTAGTTATTCTTGCAGTTGATGAGCCACCTTACATTATAAATGTGATATATTTCTTTCAATGGTTTACATCACCATCCAGATTACAACCTTTATTAAGATGCTATCCTTGTGAGTTGGAATTTAACATTGGCACTTTTCTTCAGTTGACAGTGGAGTATTTGATTGTTACTGTTCTTTCAAATCCCCTGATTATGAATGAAAACTGAATAAAATAACTGAAGCTTAACCAATGGACTAATAATCCCAAAAGCAAATCAAACCAAGCCTGCTAGACCAGACAAAGTATTTTGTGAGATGACCTATGGAAGAGCACTGGATCTTTTTGAATGTCATGGGCTTTTTGATGTTCTAAGTGTCCAGAACAAGGCAAGAATCCCTGTGCAAAGCACTTGTCTCCTAAACAGAGTGACAAATGGAGTTTGTCAGTGCTGTACTGTGGTTTTCTGGATGGTGAATTCCAGGAATACTTGCACCAACTCTTCTTCCACTGGAGAAAGCCATGAGAAAAAAGTAAGAAAACAGTTTCTGCATTGCTTTGAAAATTGTAAGGAAAACCCCAAGAATGTATTTGTTCTAATCTACAGTAACATAATTCCTGTATTCTGCTAAGAACATCTCACGGGCTTTTAGTTTAATATGTGGCAGGAATGTTGTTGAAGCTAAGTTTCTTCACAAGAGCTTTTGATTTATGGAAGATCAAAAGTACCTCAAGGAGTTTTCAGCTAAATGAATTTGACTTGGACATAGCTAATTTTAAAGCAGCAATACAAAGCCTGATGCAACTGAACGAGAAAAAACGCTTTGTTCCTTGGAGAGCGGAATTAATAAAGTCTAATTTTCTCTCCATTGTGTCTCCTAGTGGGAGTCTTTAGGTCTAATCTTTCCACATACTTTAGGTATTTACAGTGTTGCTATCCTATAGATGTACTGAAGTGTCTCATAATGGTTGAGCTGATGCTGCATCCTTTTTCAAAGTAATGAAACTAATTCAGTATTTGCCCATTTCCCAAGAACATTGTAAATACTTAATGGCTTTAATAGTCCTAATTTTCTTTCAAATGCAGCCACAATTTTTAAACAGTTATTCAAAATTTAATAGAGAAATAATAGGATGCAGGATAACAATATTGGATGCTACTAATTTTTCACATATATTGACTTCTTTTTTTTTTTTGGAACATACAGACAGGCCAGATAGATAGGCCAAGACCATTGGTTAAACAAGACCAAGTGCCAAGTCCTACTTCTGGCCACAGCAGTCCCATGCAGTGCTGTAGCCTGGGAAAAGAGTGGACTAATTGAACTAGAGAGCATTGAGTTTTGTGTGTTATGAAATTCTTTTGAGTTTATGGCTATAAATATTTTAATATTTTTAAGGTTTATTGTAACTTCCCAGTTAAATTCACAGGGTTTTTTTTTGTTTATTAATTTTCTATGTCAACCTTGCTCAGCCCTATCTAGCTAAAAGTACAAACAGCAAGAATTTTCTTACAAACTATCACAGAAAACAAAAAATTCATTAGGAAATTTAACATAGAAGATATTAAGGACAGAGACAGAGAATAAGAGGATCACCAGTCAATTAATGCTAAAAGTGACAAATAACCAGTGGCTGATGAATGGCATGATAATGATACAACTAGGTAAACTGTCTGAGCTTTCTAAGATAAATGCTATGTATTTATCTTTGAAAATACAGTAATACTGTACTTTCTGAAAAAAGTACTGAAAAATACAGCCTTTTAATATTTACAATAGTTTCAGTTGTTGCAGTGTTCAATTACTTGCTTTTATGTTCTTATTTTTCAAGTATTGAAACAGTATTTCAAACCCACATACCTTCTCGTATGTTTTGCAATTAAAAGTGAGCAGCAGTCCCTCTTTACAATTATTGGCATATGTTTCTTCTCAACATCCCCTGAGACTACACTTGGGAAAGTAGTTAACACATTTATCTGTTTTGCTTATAGGTTAGCCTGAAATAGATGAGAAGCTCACCCTCTTCTCTGAGTTGCTGAAGCTCTTCCTTATGGCTGACTAATGTGTGTGCATATATGGAGGTATTAATTATTTTTTTAATTGGTTGTGGGGTTGGGTTTTTTTTACTTTTTATGTATTTGTACATTTGTTTGTGTGTTGGTGTGTCTTTCTAGCCCAGAACATGTATAGTCTGGTCATGTGTAGGTTTCAGCTTGTTTCAGCACTGATCCTGTGAAGCATACCAGAAACTGAATGATACCCAAGGCTGCCTGAGAGTAAATGAAAAATGAAAGAAAAATCTAATGTCTTTCACATAAATATTTTAACATCAGGTATTTTTTCTGAGAGCACCAAGGTCCAAAGGTGATTTTCCCCCTGAGGAGCATCACCCAAGCCTATCTCAGAATGGGACAACCAAATATTAGTAAAGAGAGAAATCTCTAGTCTATGCTGAGAACTACTGGGTAAAACCACACCACCCACGTTAACACTTTAGATGCTCTGGGATAACTTCTTGCCTTTCACTTCTGAATGATGATTTTCTCCAGTCCTCTGTACACAAGTCCCAAGGAAACCTGTTTGAGATAAAATGGGTTTCTAAATATAATATTAAACATGCCCAAACAGCTGACCTGCATTTATGAGATGGGCTTTAGAGTAAAAAATTTCCAGCCATCACTGATAATTTGCTGCTGCTAATTTCCCAGTTCTTTTAAGACCCAGATTGCAGGCTGATTTAGGTAGCTGCTGTAATAGTTCTGTATGACTACTGAGGAGCCACTAATATAATGTTTTCGCACGTATGGATTGTTTTTTATTTGGTAGCTACTGAGGAACAGGGAAAAAGAAATTATATGTGCATTACTCAGATTTGCAGGATATTCTAATTCAGTTTTATTTCCACCACTTTTTTGAATTTTATACCCTGCCAACCTGAGTTTCTAAAATGTAAATGTCTGTGTGTGGATCAGTAGCGTAATAGTCCAAGCTCAATCCTGAGATATTACAATTAATTTTTTTGCAATTGAATGAGTTACATTGGAGTTGCACATTTTCTAACTCTGTACTGTGTAAGCAGATCCATCTTGTTCTCTGTTATATGAAATAGCTTTCCCTCTGTTTCATTTAGGAGCAAATTTTCTCAAGTATTCTTGCTATGAATCCATGCTGCCAGCACAATTCCCACAAACTAACACTTGTTGCCTTTTAACCTACAATATCTTTTACATGCCCTAAAGTTCAATCGCTACAGTAGAGATACACAAGAACTGATGATGTGCAGATCTGAGTTTTTTTGAAATTTATTTTCATAACACCGGTCAAAATTAACTTTCAATTTTCTTTCCCACTGAGACAGTCAATTTATCTTTTCAGGCTGTTTTATGATTAGTTAATTTTTAGGTTAGTTGAATGTATAGATTCTCCTGCTGGCAGATGATGCTGTGAATACTCAGATGTTCTGCAAATCAGGGACTCAGGAATAAATAGAAATTGGTTTAGTAAGTTACTTTTGTCACATCACAGTTTCACTAGCAAGCTTCTCACTACTGGCTGAAATAAATATATATTTAGATGTATTCTCTTTAACAGAGGGATGGCAAGGCAGTTCAGGATTATTCCTTCTTTGGCCTCCTGCTGGGATATTAAAAAAATGGGGTCTAAAATAAAATGGGAAGAGGGAGAAAAGCAGAACCTGACAACAGTGTTTCCAACAGGAGCAGGACTAACTTCCCTCCAGTTTCCTCTCTTTTCCTCTTCTCTGTACTGCCCAGATCCTCATCTTGCTGTAGGTAGGTGGCAAGCAGAGACTGACCCCAAGGACACTGGAGTATCTCTTGAAAGTAGAGACAGGGAGTAAGAATATGCTGTGAGGAGAGAAAATGAAGTTTTAATTTTAGGAGACAGGCTGTATTTCTGACAGATGGACCATCCTTCTCAACCATATAGCCTCCAGTCCCATCCTGCCAGTGAGGAACATGTCAGCCTAAAAGATTAAAGTTCAGCAAAATTATAGGCCACCAAAATCAGAGCTTTATAATGGGAACTGTCATCTGACTTGAATAATGGTCCCATTCATAATACTTATACTGGATCTTAATCTCACTTAAAGGGAAATTACTCCAGGGACTTAAAATAGGAATATTTGTAATTTAAATGTCTTCTGAGACTCTTTACACCTTTGACATAGGGTACAAAGATGAGCTATGTGTGCTCTCTATGAACATATCTGCATGTGTCTACAACTATCTTTATATCAATATGTATTTACTTTTTTTAAAAATAATATATAATCATACAGATAATTATGAAACCAAAGGGCATAATGATGATTTTATTCTTTAATTATTCTTAACATATTTTTTTAAAACATCTGACAAAACATTATTTTCTATTCCCTTTCCAGTGGCAAATATAAGAGTAAAATAGAGTAATGAGTACAGAGGAAAGAGAAAAAAGAAGAGCAAAATTAAAAATGCAGGTAATAAAAAGAAAACTAATGTCATGATCTGCTGTAGAGAAAAAAAAAAAAAGAAAAAAAATTGGATAAAACTAAATATTTCTCTGCAGAAAAATATTCTATTGAAAAGACTATAAGGCATCCATACAGCCATCTTTGGTTTATGACCAGAACTACCAAATACTTTCAGTGCTCAGGACTGAGCATTAGAAACACTGAATTGAATTTTCTCAGGGCTAAAAATTTTTAATATTTTTAGCATACATTTATACCATTACTCATAAACTTGCTATTAGAGACACACTCGCAGTGAACTCTCAGTGGGAGACAGAATTTCATGCTACTTATGCAGTGCTGGCCATAGCTTCTCCTCTTCAGTAAAAGCTCATCAGTTTCTGCAAATTATCATTGCTCTTGCAGGTAGAACTTTATTATAGATGATGCACATATGCCAGACTCATCTAGTATTATAACACTTTCTGTCACCTTCATCCAAACAACATCTGGCAGCAGTCCCCAAAGTGACATTTCAGACATGAAAGCAGAACTAATATGAAGAAAAATATGGTGGCAGCGACAATACAACCGGAGAACAACTTCCTCCCCAATTAAGTCAACATGCTGCTGTCCTTCAGTGTCTCAGGAACCCTCCTCTTTCCCAGCATGTTTTCTCTTATGCTCTTTGCAACAGTCTGGGTTTCCGTAGTGTTCTAGGTCAACTCCTCTCCATGAGAAGGGATGACAAAGGTTGAATTTAGCTTTGGAGCCTGACATCCAATATTCAGGTAAAGATATGCAAAAACCTTGATTGTGAGGTCCTGTATACAAGCGTGTTCTTCCTCTGTGTTTAACGTGCTGTGAACTGAATTCAGTGCAAGATCACTTCAAAGTCCCCTAAAGCAGAAAACCTACTACAATGTCAGATTGTATTGTTGCATGTCACTACCTAGGTAGTTTTTTTTCAAAAGGGTTCAGTTAAATCAACCAAAACCATAAGAAGTAAGAAAAAATATTAGTTGCTTTATGAGATGCTTGAACATAGTTCTGTTGTATGAAAATATTGTTCTTTATTAATAAACCTTTATTTTGAATATAAATGCAAATTTAAAGAAATTCTGACAAAGTTGCAGTTTGCATTTTCCAGAGGTAGGAAGTTAATGGAATTTTAGACCTCAAGTATGTTTGCTGAGAAATTCACATAAAATTTCAGACAGATTGTAGACTTGACCTTGTCACTGTTTACCTACAAAAAAGAAGAGAAAACTTTATTAGAGAGCTTCAGAGTAAGTTAAGACTTCCCACTGTAAGACATCACTATCTGTATTATATTCAGCAGAAGCACACACCGAGTCCCTTCATTGGGTTATTTGCTATTCGTGGTTTATGTAATTCTTGCTTCTGCTTCAAAAACAGGGTTATTAACCCTAATCTGCAGGATCTAGGAATGGAACCCAGACAACAAGAGAACATGGATAAATCTGCAATTATTTGGGGATTTTTTTATGCTTACATTGTAGTTTTTTTGAGCCTTGATATAACAAATTTATCTCAGAATTCTTTTTGCCCCCCTCCCCACTTTTTTCCCTTGTGTCTTGCTGCACTGTAGGTTTCTGAAGTTTTTGTATTTCTATGTTGCTCTTTCTATGCTTCTTCCTTAATCACTACTAAAAACTAAAAGTTTCTCTTTTACTTGCAAATCATTTGCATGTAATCTTCTGTGACTTCCTATATAAAAACTAGAGACAAAACAAAACCAGAAACATTCTAACATATCGGAAAGAAAGATAAATATTTTAAAAGTGACAGGTCATACTCAGCATTGCCACAAAACAAAGTAGTATTACTATGTAAAACCTTCTGTTGTTATTGTTGATTTTAGTTAAATGTTAAAAGGAAATTCTTTGCTAGAGGTTGCCCAGAGAAGCTGTGGCTGCCCCATTCCTGGCAGTGTCCAAGGCCAGATTGGATGGAGCTCTGAATAACCTGCTCTGGTGGAAGGGGTCCCTGCCGATGGCAGAGAGTTGGAATGAGATTATGTTTAAGATCCCTTCCAACACAAATCTTTCCGTGATTCTATGGTTATGGTAACCTTGAGAAACTCCCCTTATACACTGAACAGTTTTTAATTACCCTGCTGCAAACATTGGAATTCACCTAGTCTTCTCTTTGTTTACCATTCTGTTCCCAAGGGACCAAGGAAAGGAGAATACAAAATCAATTTCTGTCCTTACAGCTTTCTGAGCAAGCACTTATATCCATTTGGAAGAAAAAGAATTGCGGCATACTGAATACTTTGGGGATCCAAATCAGGTTGCTATTTTGTGTGTATTTAGGAATCAAAGAAGTCAGAAATGGAAGAAAACTATCAGAGTTTGTCATCTGGCCACAACCTTTGTAAATGCAACAAATTCTTCTCCAAGAGAGGCTGCAAATAGAAGGCAACAACTACTGAAACATTATCATTACATTCCCAGAAACTAATTGCAGAGTTGAATAACTTTGCACTGACTTCAGTGATGCCCTGCAACCTTCAGTCTTCATCACTTTGTTTACATGCCACGATCTTCTGACATAGCCATGGGACATCCTGCCTGCAGGTGACAGTGCCCTGTGCTTCAGCCACATTCCTACCCTCCACCTGTGGCTCTTTCCCATGTGGGAAATATCTCACAACATCATGAGCCCAATGGAGAAGCAGAATGTTGTGATGGATCTGAAAGCTTTCTGTCAGGTTTCTGATTAAAAAAAAAAAAAAGACAGATCTTTCCAAAGCTCCTAAATGCTAGCAGAGGAAATGCAGAGGATTTGCCAACAGATTTGTACTCAGTTGCTGAGCCTGGTTGTTGTCACTGGACTTGCTCTTTGGCTCAGGTAGTGTGGAACAACCCCTTTAGGTGAGGCTTCAGTGTAGAAACCAGTGTGAGTTATAAAACAAGTAACTGCTCTGCTGAACATGCAATCCAGGCAGGATTTGGCAGATGCCTTCAGGTATATATAATGGTTTTTGTGACTGGGGAAAAAAGATCAAGTTGTGAATTAAAGTAGCTGAAATAACTGCTTTTATTCATGAAAGCACTCAAAAATAATTCAAATTTTGTTTTTTGTTTGCTTAGGTAGAAAATTCTGAGGTAGGTTGTTTAGAGGTAATCAAGGTAAGATAGTGGTTAGTAAAGAAGGCCAGAAACACTGTGTTCCTACATAGATTAATAGAAAGTTGATTTTGTCTCCAACTACTCTTGGTAGCACTGATAAATTAAAATCAGTAGCAGAAAATTTGGAAATTCAGCTGTAAGGCACCTATTCAAGGATTTTTTCTTCTGCATCTGTCCCTCTATCATCAGCAGGGAAGTAATCCCTGGGTGTAGTCCCACTGCCAGGGGTAGCAACTTGCAGACAAAATATCAGTTTTACAGAACAGCTGGAGCATGAAGTGGCTGGAAGCAGTAGCTATCCACGAGGGAAATGCACATCCCTGTAACAGACTGGAGAGGAAGCAATGTGCATGATCCCCTGGTGTGGGGGAGCAGGGGGATTCTGAGGTTAAACACCAGAATTTGACACAATCTTACCTGACATGACAGTGATTCCTGTGAGGCACATGTGAACAGTCAAGAGGGGATTTCTGAATGCACGGAGGAAATGCCTCAGGGTCTGTAGGAAGATATTATACTTCAGGTCATGGGGTCAGCCACGCGGTGAGACCTGAGACTCTGTCAAGATGGATGTAATTTATCATTGAATTGGCACTGACATTTGTGTGTATGTGACATTTGTGCCTTGTGAAGGACTTCTACATATCTGTCCCATGGCTAAAGTATCTCTTTTCCATTATGCCCATATCTGTGGGTCAGAAGTTTAGGTGTGGTTGTTAGGAGTGCCAAGGATAACATAAATCACTGGGTGGTTTTTTTTGGTTGTTGTTTTTTTTTGAGTTTTTTTTGTTTGGTTGTTTTGGGGTTTTTTGGTTGGTTTTTTTTGTGTTTTGTTGGGGTTTTTTTTCTGATGTGTTTCCCCCTTCAATGCTCTCACATGTGCAGCCCTCATGGGTCCTGAGGGTAATTCTTGGATCTTTGATCCGTAAGCATTTTAAATGCTGTGAGAAGAGCCTGGGCACAGAGGCCTTCTTGGTGTCTGCAGGAAGACTTCCTGGTGGGATTTTGATGGGATTAAATCCTATTTTATATCTGCACAGGAATAAGAAACATTGTGATTATATAGAGTTAATAACCAGGAATAGCCTCCTTTTGCTCCTTTAAATTTTTTTTATTTTATTTTTAATAGCTCTGACAGTCTTCCTTAGGTTCTCCTCTTCCACTCAAAATATTGTCAGACCACTTGGACGTAAGAAGTACCTCGTTTACCTTGGACTAAAATGATCCAGCATTTTTAAGACTTTGGAAGCTTACACCTTAGGGCAAGAAAACGAACAAAAATTACGGTTTTTCTTCAGATGAGTGAGACTTGGCTCCAAAAGCTAAAAATATCAGTAAAATAACCTTCAAAACTAAACCTTGCAAAACTTTAGGAAGTTAGGTATGCTTCAGGCATATAATTTTGCTACAGAGCCTATGTTTTGGCATTACCCAAGCAAGCTTGATGAGCTGACTGCTGAGCAAATTGTTTTGTATAGGTTTTTTGCTTTGACATCACACTATTCAGCTAAGGGTGCTAACCTGCTCACACTTCAGTCCTGCAAATAGGAGACTGAATCGATCCATAGACGTTATTGAAGCATTTTGATTGATATAGGCCCTGGAAAGTAAGGATGAGTTTGTCCTTATGAATGTCTTTGATATGAAAATCAGCCTGGTAGGCAATGAGTGAGGGGTCAGCAAATTCAAGCAGGTTTGGTTTGGCATCAACTGAACTAGCTAGAAGTGACAATCAAGTGATCTTATCAAGGTTTTTACTTTGGTTTGGATACTCCTGGAATTGAGCATCTCTCTTCTGTCACCTATCTAACTTCTAGGTATATATATATATTTTTTTTCTTTTCTGATTCAAGTTAGAGCCGTGGGAAGCATAACTTAGCTGTGGGAAAGAAAACCAAATCTTACAACTTACTCCTTAGTGAACTAAAGGCAAATTGAAGGATTAAGAGAGTAATAATCTAATAGTATCCTAATTAATTTTAGGTTTTGGAAAGCTTCTGCTTTGCAACTTTGATTGTGGTTTTGGGTTTTTTTTTTTTGTTACTATTAAAAATATCTTGAGGATATATATATTATATATATATATATAATTGTAAAGTTGTTTGTGTTTTATTTGTTTTGTTTTTTGTTGGGAATTTTACCAAAAGAAAATCAAGTAAAATAATCTGGACCGTGTACCTCTGTATGACCATGCAAAGTTTTTTTTTGTTGTTTTGGGGTTTTTTCTTCTTTGTTTTTCATTTTTTTTTGTTTTGTGGTTTTTTGTTTAGTTTTTTGGGGGGGTGTGTTTGTGTTTTGTTTTGTTGTTTTGCTAGTGATTGAAATAAGGATTTCCTCAGGTCTAGGGATAGAATATAGATAAACATCAGTATGCATTTTTTTTTGTATCTTAGGAGTGAAGAAAGTTAATATATGGGATGTTAGTGATCCTTGGGAACTGGAATATGTACCCCAAAACTCTGATTTTTTCATTAGAAAAATGCAGCTGTTTAATCTGAAGGCTGATAATTATCAAAGTTGTTTTTTCCCCCGTATATCAAAACCTCTTCTGCTGTTATGAACTTTAAGGAACTTGAAAAAGGAATGAAGACTGAAAAGCTGCAGCACTAATTCTTGCTCCTTAGAGATAGTAAAGGGCCTTATCACACATAGACAATGCAGAGGCTTAGGGTTTCTCTGGTCTCCTGGTACAGTGGTTTTGGGTTTTTTTAGATCTCCACAACTAAATGCAGGTGAAGGAGCGGGAGAACCCACACAAGTATTTAACTGAAATCACAGAAGAATTATGTAGGCTGCTGAATTATTATTATTTTTTTTAATAAGGTGAGAGTGGGGTCCCTTCACCCCATTAACTAGGAAGCAAATAATTAGTGAAAAAGGAAATCCACCTGAACAGGTCCACAACTCCTGAAAATAAAACTCTATATCAAGAATCAGGCAGATATGATGGTACTTATTTCACCTCAAAACATGACCAAAGAAAGACAGATTTGAAATAATGTCAGAGAAGCCAATAATAATGCAATCTCCTTTGGGATGGTATTATCTACAATGGAAAATTTGAAAACCTCTGAAGATTATGAAGTGAGAAGAACAATAGCTACCTGCTGCTATTCAGGAGAAATGAAAAAGCCATAACAATGCACATTATGCTGTCTTTGAATGGGATACATTCCCCATTTGGTGAAATCACTTTAGCCACTGATTCTTAATGCTGTGTGAAAAGAAGCTATTTGCTGCTTCTAAAGAAAGACTAAAACACACTATTTCTTCTAATATATCAATTCTTACATTGGCAGACAAAAATATCAACTTTTTTTCTTCTGCCTTTCATTTTCTCCTGCCTGACCTAGTGAAAAACTGGATTTTGTTTAGTTCATTATTATTTCAACTCCACTGCCATTAATCATATAATCAACCTCTGTGTTCAAAATCTATGCCCAAAAAAGAGTTCTACTGCTGACTCTTATGTCCAGTAGGACTGCAAGTGCTTGAAGCAGTGCTGAAGTTGCCTCTGTCTTGCTTTATTTTCCTCAAATGCAGTATTCAAAGAGCGTTGCCCCTGCCATGTTAGAGGACTGCTGTTTACTCAATCTATATCCCTCTGAACAGAAAGGCATTTATCAAAGCAGAGATGTCCCCTTTTCTCTGTGTTCAGCTGAGACTTCATTTTCCCTAATGCTTTATGGCAAGAATGTCACCCTGAGCTCACTGGGATCAAGAGGAGCTGAGCCAGGGCCTTTTAAAGCCCACAGCCTCACAGAGGGGCTGTGTCAAAGAGGTGCATGAGGACTCTGACGTGGCAGCAGGGAAGAAAGAGCAGCTGGAGAGCCCTGCTCTCCATTTTATCAGCATAGCCCACACAGGCCTGGCAGATTCCTGTATCTGAAATAAGTTCAGTGAAGTTGCTGCTCAAATAAGTGATTGTTATCTTAGTGAACCAGAGGCTCTGATCTGTTACCTTCACAGAGTATGATCTCAGATGGAGGATAAAGTTAGTGATCCAATAACTTGGAAAAGTCCAAACCCTGACACTGACCCCACAAAGTGACCATTAACCTTACCAAAGCCCCTGCTGTGATATCAGTCTAACAACGCAAGACCAGCAGTTTCTGTAAAGCTCCTAACTTGAAATTGAGGCACCTTTGAATTTTACCTCTAAAATAGATCCAAAAAGCATGTTTTATGTATTATCCTGATGCATTAGGTTTTAGCTTTTGTATTTTTCAGATTCTGTGCTGCTTTATTGTGTAGTTCAGAGCTTCATATTAAGTGTTGGTAAGCTCTCCTCACAGAGTAGGCAGACAAAAAAATTCCTTTCTTAGCTTGGGACCAAGGACAACCACCCAAATTTCAGTCTCAAGAGCAGAAACAATGTAGGCTGAAGAGAGAAAATAAGGATGGGACTTCATAACCTAAAGCTGTAATTGGACAATTAACTCCAATATGCCAATGGATGAAAACTTATAAATGTGTGAGACCCCATGACCAGTTGTCCATTTTTTGACCATTTTGGGTTCATCTTGGGTGTAGGCCTGGCTGGGCTCTTGTGCTGCTCAAGGTGTATCCATTGAGGTCTTCTAATAAATCCCTACTTTATTCTTTATCTCTGTCCAGACTCTGTTCTAGGTCAGCCTTCACAGGGCATCAATCCTGTAAATGTGATACAGCCCTTACCTTCCAAGGCTGCTTGTGTGGAGCTCTCTAGTGTCTGCTTGTTATGGTCATGATAACTGAGACAAACTTGCTGCTCCTCCTGCTGCTAGAACCACTAAGTGACATCTGAGTTAAAATGTAAAAATTTCTGGTGACCTGAAGCATGGAGACCTGGCATTTATGATTCACATTTCCTGTGGGCAATTTTGGGGACACCTACAATATGTATTGGGTGAATACCATGTAGCAGTGTCAGAACAGCCCAAAAGGGCATTGCATTGGTTCTTTGGTAA